AACACTAATTATAAATATAATCTATAAATAATATATAACTATTTAATTTAAATTATAATAAATGAATATTTATAAAATGTATAGTAATATAATCAATTATGTATAAAGTAAATTAAACTAATTTAAGTATTATAATTTTAACTTGATGTTTAAGATTTATATATTTTAAATTAACTATAATATATGTATAATTTTCAAATTAATTTTTATTATATATAAATTAACACAATATTAAATAAATTTAGTTATATATTAATGTATTAAAACTATATTATTAAATACTTCATATTATATATATTTTAATTATATTTATAAGTTAGTATTTAACACTTACTATTTTAAAATTAATGTTTAAATATAATTAATAGTTTTATATAATTATAAAATAATATATAAATTTAACCAATAGTAATACTATTTAAAACTTAATATTTAATGAATTTATATTATAGTTATATATTTAAATTAGATTGCTTATATTATCATTTTTTTTCCGAAAAGTGAAATATACCTTAGCATGCATAAATAAGGTGGTGGGTACCTAAAAATTAAAATTTAGGTGTTAGATATGTAAATATATAAAAATGAGTGCTATGTATGCAAATCTTTCAAGAAATATTTTAGCATAATTATAAATATAATAAACAATGAGCATATATATTTTTTATTAAAAATAATTATTTTTAGCATAAAATTATCTCGAATAACACCGGCTTGGGCAAAAGATTCAAATAACACCACTTAACTCACCAATAACACCAAAAAATCCCACGAATAAAACAGTAATAACACCGCAAATCAAGGACTGTTGAATACTACCGCAAATAACACCGCAAATCAAGGACTGTCAAAAGATGTGAATAATACTGCGAATAACACTACAATAACACCTGAATACTGCCAAAAATAACATCGTAAAACAACGCGAATCAACAGCTAGTAAAATATGTGAATAATACAACGAATAACATCAGACGCTGAACGCATGGAGGGCAGAGCCATAAACATTTTTCTCTGAACGCGGGACGTGGGTTTGATCTCGCGGGCGGCGTGTAGTACAAAGGAAACCAGCTTATCCCGCAATGCAACGAAAATGGAGAAAACAAACACCAATATTTGAAAACGCCCTGCTGCTGCTCCGCGAAACCAGCTTAATGTTTTTGGTGTATTTTAACAAAAATAATGTTATAGCAAATGGAAAAAAGCAGCCTTTGCAAAAATCAACTGGGCATTTAGAAATGTTTATTTTAGATATTTTATTAAAAAAATAAAAATCAATCATAATAATATGCTTTAAATGGTATACGCAATTTTCTTATACATCACCCCAAAACATCAACATAACTAAATAATATAAACGGGTCAATTTCAACAGACAATAACTGCAAAACAATAGATTCAAATTATATTAGTTCCATATTTGAATAATATTCAACCCTTTAAACTTCACCTAAATTTGATTGAATCTCGAGGAATCTTATTAGGACTTCTTTGATCATTGTTCAAAAAATGATTAAATCTTCGTTCATCGTTGTTCAAACCACGATTGAATTTTCATTGATGATTATTCAAATTATGTTTGAACATTCTTAAATTCTTTTTCGATCATCATTTCGACATTTGAACAATATTCAAATAACTTCAAATATTTGACGATGACTAAAATATGTTTTCATTAAGATTTGAACAAGATTTGATCACTTTTTGAAGTGGATAATCTATTGCTTGATATCATTCTAAGTTTAGTGTACCATTCAAACTTAAGAAATCAAGTATAACATTACTAATCTTGAACATCTAGCCATATGGAAATAGAAACTATCTTAAAATTTTGCTCACAAGATTATTACTATGATCGTCAGATGGTTGACATTTAATGTGACCAAACAATCTAAGACGTCACTCTCTAATCTTGTCCGCTACTGGAGCTACACCAACCTTTACATGGATAAATTCATTTCACATTATGTGCCTACGTGTCAAGCTACTCATCCACCAAAGCATTCTCATCTCAACAACACTTAAATTTGTTTTATTCTTCTCTTTTAAAGGCCAACATTCAGTGACATAGAGCATTGCAGGTCTCACCACCACCTTATAAAATTTTCCTTTTAATTTAAGCAATACTTTTCTATCACACAATAGGCCTGAAACATTCCTTCATTTCAATCAACAAACTAAAATTCTACTAATAACATACCCGCCTATATGACCTTCACTCTGAACAATAGACCCGATACATCTAAAATATTCAAATCTATTAATGATTTGATCTCCCATAATTATAATTCTACCACTAGAGCTACTACTACTACTAAAATCACGTTCCATATATGCAGTTTTGGTTGTACTAAAATGAAGGCTTTTAGACTCCAATGTAAACCTCCATAATTCATGTTTTTCCTGAACTCTTTCTCTAGTCTTACCACAAGAAGGATACCATTAGTGAAAAGCATACAATAAGGTACATCCTCTTGTAAATGTCAAGTAAGAGCATCCATAACTAAATCAAAATGCTATGGGCTTAAGGTCGATCCTTGATGTAATTCATTTGAAATAGGAAAATACTTGGGCAATCCTCCTTCTGTTCGAACACAAGTAACAACTCTAGTATAAATATATTTAATGACTTGAATGTAAGTCATATCAACTCCTTTCTTCTCTAGAACTCTTCAAAGGACTTATCTTGGAACCTTATCATGAGCCTTTTCTAAATCAATAAAAATCAAATGTAGATCCTCTTTATTCTCTCAGTACTTTTCCATCAAAACTCGCATTAAATGTATAGCTTCCATAGTAGATCTATCCGACATAAATCCAAACTGAGAATTCTTTGTATCACGTCTTATCATATGTTCAATTACCCTCTCCCAAAATTTTAAAATATGATAGATCAACTTAATTTCTCTATAATTTGCACACTATTGTGCCTTCCATTTATTCTTAAAAATGGGGACCAAAATACTCTTCCTCCACTCCTCATACATCTTTTTAGATTTTAAAATAATATTAAACTGTTTAGTAAGCCAAAAAACTTTGAAATCTCATAAATATTTCCACACTTTAATTAGGATATCATCAGGTCCTACTGATTTTTCACTCTTGGTTCTCTTTAAAGCCTCCTCAACTTTATTTTTACTAATGCGATGGTAAAACAAAATATATTAATATTATTAATGATATTAAGATGACGAAGGTCAATCATATTTTTAGAAACTTCATTGAAAAATTTATCAAAATAACTCACTCGCTTATGTTGAATATCTTCTTCTAAAAAAAATACTTTTTTGCTTTTCATCCTTAATACACTTTACTTAAGTTAAATCTTTATTTTTATTTTCTCTTTGTTTAGCTTCATTTATAATTATATTTTTCACCCTCTTTAGTACCTAATCTATATAAAGATCATTAAAAGCTTAATTTTTAGCATCGCAAATTGTTCTCTTAGGTTCCCTACGACCACCTTATATATTTCCTAGGTCTCTAAGCTCTTACATTCAAACCAATTTTTATAACACAACTTCTTATATTTCATCTTTTCTTGCACATTATTATTCCACCACCAACGATTTCTATTTATAGAAAATTTTCTTTTTTATTTTTCAAGTATAACTTTTGTCACATGTTTAATAGTGTTTGTTACTTTATCCCACATAAAATTTGCTATTTCATTAACATTCCAAATCTTCAATTCTTAAAGTTTACTCAAAATAATAATTTTAAGAGCTCCCATATAATTTTATGACAATGATTCATAGTGTTCTTTATCTTGCAACTTTTTATCTAAAAATTCACGACAAATAATCGCTGTTGAGTATTTAAATTTTCACTTGAAATGACCTTACAATCCTTACATTCTCGACGATCTCTTATTCTCATAAGAAAATAATCAATTTGTGTTTTATTAGATCTATCATTGCATTCCTCTCTTTTTTTAAATAAAGTATTAACAATTACAAAAGCGTACGCTAACATAAAATCTAATATGGTTCTACCTTCTTCATTAATCACTTTGAAACCGTAGCCACAATGAATATTTCTAAAACATTTTACTAATCTACCAACTAGTCCATTTAAATCTCTTCCAATACAAATTATTTCTTCAAGAGGTATCGTTTGTGTCAATTCTTCTAGCTCATTCTAAAACTTTTTCTTAGAACCTATATCTAAACCTATTTGAGGAGCAAAAGCACTTATAACATTAATACTTGTAGTATCAACAATAATCTTAAGAGCTATGGTTCTATCTCCAGTTCCATCTTTAATTCTATTAATTTTTATAACATTACTTTTCATGCTTTTATCTATAATTACACCAACACCATTTTAAGTGCCACTCCTACCTGAATACCAATGTCTATCAATCTCCTTAGAATTTTTTCCAGCTCATTTAATTTCATATAAGACATTTATCTTCCTATAAACCATAATATCAACTAAATTCATTAATTTATCTGTGAGAGTACCTATTTTCCAAAATCATATCCTAATATTAATTTCATAGACTAATTTTCTTACATGCAACTGTTCTTAATATGGGAACACTTGCTTATTTGACACTACACCTGAGCGTAAGAGTAGCGTTCCTTGCACATTTTTTACTGTATTCAAGTCATACACCGTGTCGCTTACAGGGGATGCCTTCACATTTATACAAGTATTTAAAGGATTCATGTTACAATTTTTCTTATAAATTTTATGCTGGTTTTGACTACCAAATACAACTCTCCATTTTTCACATTCGGGGCTTAAGACCCGACAATTACAGTGTTTATTTTTGCTTTATACATAAAAATACGAAAAAGCTCTCATGTTTAAAGCACACTCTTCTTTTAATATTCAATTCATCAGCTTGTTAGCACATAAACTAACTTAGAATTTCATAATTTGATTTCATTTATCACAGAAAAATAGTAGATAACATACTTTAATAAAACAAAATTCAGCATCTTGAAAGACACTAGAAGGGAATAAAATCAAAAGACAACATATATGTAAATTATTTATGCTTATTTTACAACTCTTGAAGCTAGATGCAACAAAGTGTATTGAGCTATAAAGTATAAATAGTATCCATAAATAACTAATCTCTTCATCAAATTTCTCTATTTCCCAATCAATATTTGCTCAAATAATCTGAAATTCCTTTAGAGATGCAATAAGCAACTGTCTGAATAGTGATCATTGGATTCACTCCCAGAGCAGTAGGAAGAACACTCCCATCACAAACGAAGAGCCCCTCAGCCTCCCAACTCTCCCCCCTCTCATCAACTCCACCATTCTCTTCACTCGCTCCCATCCTACAACTCCCCATTTGATGAGCAGAACAATACATTGTCCACATCTCTGCTTTCGATTGTGGTCCTCCACCCACACAAACATCGTCCAAGAACTCTTCGAGTTCTCGCTCACTGATCCCATGACACTTCAATCTCTGTCCATCACTCCGATGTGTTCCAACCTCCACCGCTCCTGCGGCAACGAGAATTCTCAAAGCCTTCCTCAAACCTTCTGTCATTTCCTCTTTATCCCTTGGATCGAACCGATACTTGATTCTCCCTTCCTCCTGCACGGTTCCGCAACCCCGGTCTCGCACAAGAGCAAACAGGTGCGCTGTGCGGCCATATTTCACCATTCTATCCTTCATGTCAAGTCCAGAGATCCATGGTACAAGTGAAGAGAAGGCTGATGGGCCCATTGCCGGAGTTTCGATGATCACACTAGTACTTTTTGTCTTGTGCAAGGATGTGATGATCCCTCCTTCAAACTTCTTCCCTTTGAGATCATGAACTGACTCGGGAAAATAGCCCCAAGCAAAGCCAACTGGATGAAGATGTAGATTCTTTCCTATGTTAGGATTCTTAAGTCCACTTGCAATCATAAGAGGAGGTGTTAGGAGAGCTCCACAAGCTGAAATTGTTGCTTTGGCTTGGATTCTGATACTACACATGATATTCTTGCTAGAAGACCTGGCTATCAATCCCAAACATTTGTTCTTCTTCTTACTATCAGCTGACTGATTGCTCCCAAATATAAATTTCTCAGCTTTGCAACCAGTTAATATCACAGCACCATGGTTCACAGCATCAACAAGCCATGTTGTATCGGTGCCACGCTTATCGCCGCTTCTGCATCCATAGCAGCAGCTACCACAGTAGTGACTATCAGATGAATTTCGAGCCACATAGTCTACCTCAAGGCCAAGCTTTTGACATCCTTTTCGAAGAACCTTGTTCTGAAATCCTTCTTCAGTGCAGTTCTCAGTAACTCCAAGTCTTTCATAGACTTTGATCATTGCTGAGTGGTAGTCTGCGCTCTGAAAGATTGGTAATTTGTGTTCCAGCACCCATTCGTTGAGGACATCATCTGGTGTTTTGATACAGGCTGACCAGTTCACAGCTGAGCCGCCTCCAACTGTCGAACCAGCTAAGATCATCATATTTGTATCGTGTGTTGTAAGGATTCCTCCAGACTCATACAATTGATCCATAGACGGGGCTTCTAAATTGGTGTAGTCAACAGAAGTGAAGTAGTTCCCTTTCTCAACGACAATGATTTTATAGCCTGAGCTAGCCAGAATGGCAGGCGCCACTCCACCGCCGCAGCAATAACCGCATCACATTTTACTATAACCTGGTTTTGGAGAGTATCAGTCACCACATTTAAGCCTTTTTCAGTTAGAGAAGTGATGAAGGATGAATCATTGAGATGTGCAGTCTCTACAATTCCTCTATCAAGAGGTCTTTCTCTTTGAGACTTTGGTTTTTCATTATCCTGGGTGCTGTACCCAATTGCTTTCCATGATGGATTCTCTGAATCTTCTTTAGTCTAAAGAAATTAAAAGATGAACATAAGTATAAAAATTGTTCACAAGTTTTGGAACACATACACAAACTTCAGTTTTCCTACAAATTGTCTTGTAATAGCACATTAGCAATATACAAAAAAAAAAGTAGCAGCAATTTTGAAGCTTTAGATTGCAGTGTGGCTATGTAATTGTTGAAAATACATATTTTTTCAATAATAAGTTAAACTATTAAGTTTGGTCATACTTATGTTTTCCATATAGTGATTAAATATTGATTATTAGTTGATTATTTTAACAACTGAAAGTATATTTTGGTCCTTTTTTTCTCTCTTAAAAACTTGTTTTTTAAATTATGACTAATATAGTCAAATTAAAAATATATATAACTAAAGATAATTAAGTTGTCACACATTTTATTATGATTGAAACATTGACACATAACCGATCACCAAACATTTTCAAACGGGTTTAAAAATGTGGCAAAATTATTGCTTTAATCATAATACAAAATAATGACACCAATGAATGAGTATAATTTATACAAAAATTAACAGAGGCTATACTAAGCTAATTAACTATAATAGAATAAATAAGAGACCATCTAATTGCAATTTGATTATTTATACATGCATTATTGTTAAAAGTTTAACACACTAATATTTTATCTAATTTAGCATACCAAAATTAAACACCATAAAGTTTTATACTAACTTTTTATTGTGCTTAATCTATTATGTAGCTTCCATATACTTATTGTACTTTCCATGAGTTGACATTTTTGTAGCATAAAGTCTTTCATTCGCGTTTTTAACACAGATCCCAACCGAAGGATTAATACATGTATAATTTCTAAATATATTAAATCTAAGAGGAGAGTTACCATGGAGTAGAAAATGTAGCAGCAAAATAATTTCACCATCAGAAATACAATCCTTAAATGTATGTGGACTTTCCCCTTTCTCCATTTGTTGAGGACCTCTTCCCTCCTTTCTATACTCATATCTGAGAACTTGTTGATGAAGGGGAAACTTCGCTGAAAACTCAACGAACCGCATAGTAGAAGTGTACCAAGTCTGAATGCTAACATCCATAGAACAATCCTAATTAGAAATTTACCCTCTTTCTGGCCCCTCTTCATCATGATGTCTGCAACCTGATAAGGAAGAAATATGATATCTTTCAACATGGAGAAAGAGATGCAATGCAAGTAAATAGAACTTCCATGGACGAATGAGTTAAAAACAATAGATTCTCACAAGATACTCGGTTTTAAGAGAACAAGAGAAACAAAATTAAGGGGCAAGTGAATCTTCATCAAATAGCAGGATTTGTGTATGATAATCAAAGAAAAAGAACTGAGGATTTGTGTATGATAATCAAACTTTTAGAGTAATCTTTTATATTCAATTAAATAAAATTGAAATATCAACATCATCATCATAGCTTTATCCTAAGTATTAGATTAATTTTATGAATCATCGTTCTCGAACCCTTTCTAGTTAGTGCTCCATCCATTCGCTTGAGGTATTAAATCTACTTTCCAAAAGTTCTTGCTCTTCATGTAATGAAATAATTTTTGCTTCTTTCTTGCCATGTTGCAAATGAATTCTAAAAAAGTCATAATTTTAAGTATTATAATCAATTGGTACTTAACATGGCACATATAATGATTTGTTGTTCAACAACTATAATAAAGATTGCACAAGCACTAGTATTCTGATCACTGAGCAAAAATAAAAGATTCAAACAAATATGAATCGACACAATATTGGCAAAAAAAAAAAAAAAAATTATAATGCCGTAAATCCGAGAAATCATAATTTATCGAACTATCATTGCATTTCAATAATAATAATAATAATAATGATGGATCTAACATGATTGGATAAAAGCACACATTTGTGCTGCCACGTGTTAGGAAGTTAGTAATAAAACTAGTATAGGCTCTCTATCAGGAAAAAATATTTGGTCCGGACGTCCACACGACCAACTACCGGGCGCCACGTCGTCTACCGATGAGGTGTATGGCCGACCTGACACGTGGTGTCCAGAAGGAATATTTTCTCCTCTATTAGTGTCTTGCTAATAAATATTTTTCCAAAAAAGAAGCAAAAGCTTAACAAAGAACGCCATAAAAAATTAAAGAAGAGGGACCCATCACCCACATAATCATAAAAACGAACTTAGTCTGAACTTTTTTTTGGGATTTTGAGAAAATTTAATCGTAAATTCACTCGCAGAAAGCATAATTTTTACTTGCCCCCCCTTCAAAATTTGCATAAAAGCTCATGTTTTCCTTATAAGTTACAAAAATTCCTCCAAATATCTCAATTTTCTTCCTACACTGCAGTGGTGGGACAACCAAAATTGAGTAAATATCTCAAAAATAGTCAAAGGAAATGAAATTTCAACTTTCTCCTTCCCAAAATTTGATTTTATTCACTGAAGAACACAAAAGTCCCTTCAAATACCTAAATTTCATCTCTTTTTCCTTTCCCAGACTTAGAAAAAAAAATCTTTTTTTCTAATCAAAATAAGAAAAAATTCAGCAGATAAACAAGAATGATCCCAACAACGCACAATTTGGAAGCAATAAAACAAAGTAGAAAAAGCAGATCTGAAAAGAGAAGAGAAGATCAAACATACCTCATCTGGAACCGGGTATTGAGACCCAGAAGCCATATAGAATTCTCTGAGTTCTTTGCTTGGTGGATCCTCCTTGCCATTGCTCAAGTTGACTTCCTCTGCGGAAAGAGAAGGGATAATAGCTTCGCACATGGCGGCAAGAACTTCCATCTGAGAAGAAGAGAAGCCATGGATGTAGCTCCCCTGCTCCTTCATCCCACCTCTCAAAAGAGGATGCCCCTGCTTTCTTTCCTTCTCTTCTGTCATCTTGTGCTCAGAACGCAAAGGAGTGGAATCATTGAAATAAGGAAGATCCTGCCGAAATTTGATTTTTTTTTAATGAATTATTAAAATAATCATGATTTTCTTCTAATAGTCTTCCAATTAAATTTATTATGCAATACCAAAGAAAATAATTTTTAAGGAAGTATTTAACTATGTAAGTTGACCTCCCAAAGAAGATGTTAACTTTGCTTCTACTTTAATTAATGATTTTAGGCACTTGCACTTTTCATATTTATATCCTTGAGTGTTCAGTTTAAGAAAAAAAGGAAAAAATAATTCATATATGTTGCATCATCTGTTCTAGATATTAAGTTAGGTCTTTCCTTTGTTTTTTCATTTTAGATTATATTTTTAAAAAAAATGATAATTAATGTATTTTCATTCTATGCATTATTTTTTTGATTTATTCAATAGTATTTATTCATTATTTTAATAAAAAATAAATTTTCTCAAGGTTAAGCTAATGAGTTGCAACTCTTCATTTGAGTTTAGGATATTCAATAAATTTAAATATAGTTTTCTTATTTTATGAGTAAGAAATAATTTTACTATTATTTAAATTCATTTATATTTTTTTTCATCCAAATCTATTCCAAGGTAACTCACAAATTCTTTTAATAGACTTGTGAGGTTGGGATAGTGAAGAGAATAAAGATCTAGAGAATTAAAAAGAAAAACATTGTGTAATATCTTGGCCGTGGTAAAAAGAACATCACGCCGTAGTAGATAATGGATCTATTTATAAATCATGAGAAAGATTTAAGAAAAATTTAAGAACATGCCCATACCATGCCTTACATGATTAGCTTATTATTCAAAATTTTTATAATGAACTAGTGATCCGAACTTCCTATATAAATGTTTATTGTGATGTATGTAACTATATGCTTAATTTTTTTAATAATAATTCCTATTTTGCAATAAAGTCAAAAACTTGATCCAAAGCAAAAGCTAGACAAATTTTTCACTATGAAGCAAAGAAAAGTACAGTTACTATGCAAGTATATGTATCATCATCAAGTAATATAAGATTTTTTTATTAAGCCCCGAATATCGAACCCACAGGGAATCCCGAATATTGAATCCACAAGGAATACTGGCAATATGCACTTTTTATAAAAAAATTATAAAATTTAGATAACCAAAATCCTACTTAGCAAAATATTCTTACTTAAACTTAAGATACTATAATAGGAATAAAAATTTGATTCTTTTTTGTGATTTTTGATATTTGAAAATAAAGTAAGAAACTAATTAACTTAACTGAATATTTGCAAGATGATGGCAATATAAGTAAAATATCTTCTTCTTTATCATGAATCAATAACAAGTATAGAAATTTTGTTGTTGAAGTTATCTAAATGTGTTGTGCCAAATAGGAGCAATAAAATTCTTTACCCTTACTAGAGATGCTATAAAGAACATTGGCTAATCATAGTTTGAATAGTTTTGAAGAACTGTTAGGTAGGGAAGATACTAGCTCTCACTCTAGAGTTCCCTCTTCCATCTAGTATCACAACCTAAAATTATAAATCAAATTAGGGGCTTTAGCCTATCACTCTAAAGTCATCTAATTTTACACCCTTCAAAGTTTATTTCCATATTTGTTTGCACTCAACCCCATGAACTATATTCTCATCCATAAAATCAATATGTGATTCTTACCATTTGTTGACTGAGAACGCAAAAAAGTGGAATCAATGAAATATGAAATATTCTGTCGAAAGTTGATTTTTTTAATAAATTATTAAAATAATCATGATTTTCACTAATAGTCTTCCAATTAAATTTATTATGCAATACCAAAGAAAATAATTTTGAAGGAAGTATTTAAATATATAAGTTGGCCGCCCTAAGAAGATGTTAACTTTTCTTCTACTTTAATTAATGATTTTAGGCACTTGCATTAACTTTTCTTCTACTTTAATTAATGATTTTAGGCACTTTCACTTTTCATATTTATATCCTTGAGTGTTCATTTAAAAAAAAAGGAAAAATAATTCATATATGTTGCATCATATGTTCTAGATATTAAGTTAAGTCTTTCCCTTTGTTTTTTCATTTTAAATTATATTTTAAAAAACTTGATAATTAATGTATTTTCATTCTATGCATTATTTTTTTGATTTATTCAATAATTTTTATTCATTTTTTTAATAAAAATTAAATTTTCTAAACGTTAAGCTCATGAGTTGCAACTCTTCATTTGAGTTTAGGATATTTAATAAATTTAAATATTTTTTTCTTATTTTATGAGTAAGAAATATTTTTACTATTATTTAAATTCATTTATATTTTTTTCATCCAAATCAATTCCGAGGTGACTCAAAAATTCTTTTAATAGACTTGTGAGGTTGGGATAGTGAAGAGAATAAAGAAGTAGAGAATTAGAAAGAAAAACATTGAGTAATATCTTGGCCATGATAAAAAGCACATCATTTAGTAGGCGCCCTTACACACTCTATAAACACCTTATAAGATTTTAGGCATTAATATATAAATAAAAACATCTTTAATTAGGTATGGAGCATGTGGATTATGAAGGCCCAATGTAGGTAGGTACACATGGGTATCTATTTTAGGCTAGTGGTTCAAACACCTTTTTGGCCAATCAATGTATTCATCAATTTTTAAAGTTGCTTGGTTGGTTGAATCTAACTAAGATTCTCTTGTGACTGGATGAGTTCCACTTGAGAGAGAGAGAGAGAGAGAGAGAGAGAGAGAGAGAGAGAGAGAGAGAGAGAGAGAGAGAGAGAGAAGGAGAGATGTGCAATTAACATGGCATGATACGTGAAGATCACAGTTTAGATGATTTTTTTAAGTAAGAAAAAAATGGGGTTTGAAGCTTTATTCATAATGATCTCAAGCATTATTCTTACTATCATTTTTAATTTCCCTTATAAGGGCCCATTAATATCATGGATTCCTTGAATAGGAGTGATTATTGGAAGGTCATTATAAGGAGGTAAAACTGCCAAGTCCAAATCAAAGGGTGCAATCCGTGTGAGTCCTATAGTTTCTATTCCTAATAAGCCTAAGAGTCGTCTTACCTTGAGCGTGCTCTTAGGTTATCATCTTATATGGTTGGAGGCTATAGCTTTCGTAGGAATGATATCCAAACCTTTCCCAAAAATAAAGGGTATATGGTGATGTTTCATGGAGGTGTCCCTCAATAATTTTTTTGAGTAACGACTTGTCATTTTCTTGAAATTTTTGTTAACATACTCAAGTAAACTTTAATGGGACAACTAGAAGATATCAACAAATATAATTCTGCTAAGGTTGTCAGTAAAGCCTTTCATTATGAACCATGTCAATGTAAAGGTGCTAAAGTTAACACCCATTTATCTTGCATAGAAACGTGTGAAAGAAACCCTTCATACCTTTTGTTTAATCCATGTGACAAGGTCATAATCTGCTTTTGTTTTTGAGATAAATATTATTTAAGATAATCAAATTAAGGGAGTTGTTGGTAACCTCAAGAGGACACAAGACTAAAAGGACAATAATAATTCTTAAAAATAGCATAAAGTGTGTTTATTTTTGTGTTACTGTATGGTTATTATATGCTTTTATGTTTTTTTCTCTCATATTATGCAAGAAAATTAATAGGATAAAGAATTAGAGAAAATGAAGCTAAAATAATAATAATGTCGCGCCACCAGACATGCAAAAATGTAGTGCATGTTGCCCAAAATTAAAATGTCGCGCCACCAAACATGCAAAAATGTAGTGCATGTTGCCCAAAATTAAAGCAAGAAACTCAAGGACTTGGAACTGCAACACCATTTCTTACTGCCAAAACCTCATAATTTAAGTGTTGTAAAGCAATATCTTTAGTGATGAAGTGCTACCATAGGATAGAGGTCAAAATAAGAAAATTGAGATCCCGTTGCAACATTTTAGCACTAATATGCTACATCGTAGTGCCGTAACACAGTGGTACTTCAAAGAGTTACACCCCAATGTATATGGTAGTTATCAACCAAGTTATGAATGGAATATGGTGAGTTAGTGAGTGGGAGGAGTATTTTATAATGTTTAAAAACATTAAAATTGAGTGTGAGAGGGGGGTTGAAGTGAAAATCTAGAGTATTTGTGTTTCCAAGATAGAAGAGGACAGAGTGTTTAGTGAGTGAGTGAAAGCATCGTGTTAAAGGAGTGAGAGAAGAAGAATCAATGTATATGAGATATTCATTACTTACTCCAATTTTTTTCCCTTCCCCCACTCTATCTTTTATATTTTCTTTTGTGCTTTATGACTGATGTGTGCCAAAATGTGTTGTAACTAAGCCTTAATTCTTTGGGCTAGTGGTACATTTGAGTGTTTTCAACTCAACATATTTTGTTTCTATAAAAAATATATTTTTTGTTGTTTTATTAGCCTTAAACTTCATTTATGCACATACTAGCTACATGTGTGTTAACATAAACTATGACTTAATACTTTTGATAGAAAAGTAGTAGAACATAAGCATTAGAATCCAATTTCTCTAAAAACATAGGAGTATAATTCTTAAGAAATTGTAATCTTAAGAGGACTAGGAAATCTTAGAGGTTTTTACATTATTTAGGTAAACTAAATTATAATATGAAACCTTAATATTCTTTAATGCTCAGCCAGATTTAAGAGTAAGTTTATCCTTGCTGAAATCACCTATAAAAAAGCTAGTACTTTTCACAAACACTTAATGTATTCACAAATCTATAAAAGCTTTCTTAAATACGAAAAGACCAAAACAAATTTATTTTTATTTGGCAAAAAAAATTTTTTTAAGATGATTTTGTGACAATAGAATAACTCTCAATAATAAGTAGATTTAATGATTGACTTGACTGGAGAATTTGATCTCTTTTCTCATGGGAATGAACTTGAACTCAATCACTTTGTTACTTGAATGATGCATGCTTTTACATAAATTTGTGGACAGGCATTGACATATTCAAATCAAGTTTTTGGCATTATTGGAGGTGTCAACACAATTTTAGTTAAGGAGTTGTGAAGTTGTCGGCTGCTAAGATGGATATCCCAACATCCATTTTAATTTAATTTAATATATATAATAAAAAAAAATAGTATTTTA